TTATTCAATAATAACGTAATAACTTGTTTAAATATTCTATTTTAACCTATAAAGAAATATTTATTTCGATATTATTTGATGTATATAAAAATGAGGCATAAAGTAAACAAATATAAGTCAACGTGTAAATCAGCTGTTTTATGATGACAATTAAAGCGGATTCGTTTTCGGCGCCATTTTCGATATCATTAACCGGAAGTAATTCGTGTACAAGGAAGACATTTTCTTGATAGAAACGTGGCAGTAAACGGGGCGCTGTTGGCACTTGCCAAATGTCTCTTCAAACGCGTGTACTTTGATAGTATAGAAATTGACACGAGTGAAGCGGTCAAATAAGGTATGTGTGAATTTTATTTAATTTAATAACAATATTTTCTATATAAAAAATTCAATTAATAATTTACATATTTCAAATAAAATAACATTGATATTTAATTAAACAATTTATTTCATTAATTGTTGTCATTTTCTTACATAAAAGTCAATGTAACAATAAACTTTCCAAATATTTTATGTTTCAATATGAAATAATAACCAAACTTTGATCAATGTTAATAGAATTTTTATAACAATCATTTTTATATATTTGTCTTTAAAATTTTGTTTATAACAATAATATGTAATTAATGTAAATGTCAAAAATATGTACTTATAATATACCTATAAAATATCTATTTACATTATTATATTTTTTTTGTAGAATGAAGTGGCAAATTGTATTCGCAGCTTTTGCTGCATTATGCATAAGTGTATACGGAGAGGAAGAAGAAGAAGCTGCCAGACTTTTAGTATCTAAACAAATTCTTAACAAATATCTTGTAGAAAATATGGATATTATAGTAAAGGTAAATAATCATAACACAGTCATTTATTTTATATGAAAAGATTTGTCTTTAATTAACCTATCATTTCAACAGTACACAGTTTTCAACATTGGTAATGCAGCTGCATTGGAAGTCGAAATAACTGACAATTCTTTCCATCCTGATCACTTTACTCATGTAAGTGGAGAACTTAATGCTAGAATAGATAGAGTACCACCTTATACAAATGTGAGTCACACAGTGGTTGTAAGACCACGTAAATTTGGATATTTCAACTTTACATCTGCTGAAGTTTTGTATCGACGTAAGGAAGATGCGTCTAGACTTCAAGTAGCAGTAAGCAGTGAACCTGGTGAAGGACTCATCGTTTCATTTAGAGATTATGACAAACAATTTTCCTCTCACGTGGTAAATAATACCTCTTTTCTTGTTTCTTATAAACAAAATATTGTTTTAAAAGAAAAATAATGTTATTTCTTTGTCGTATCAATTATTTTCAGATTGATTGGGCTGGATTCGCTATAATGACTTTACCATCATTAGCTATTCCATTTGCTTTGTGGTTCTCCAGTAAAAATAAATACGAGAAATTGTTGAAAACTACTAAGAAACATTAAGTGTGTGTCTGGGGTTTTGTACAAATATTAAATTATAAAAATAAAATTTAGGTCATTTGTAAGAAGAAGATTTTCTTGCAATATCGTCGTCAAGAGATCCAACCGTACCATCTTCTGGCATACATATATATTTTATATATAATAATAGATATATTATTTATAAATATTGCCAAAAATTTTTTACTAAATGATTAATGCATTTATATATTTGTAAAAAAAAAAAAAAACGAAAACAACTCATACCAATTATTTGAGATTTATTCAAGAGTTGAATATATTTTAAGAAATTATTTTTATTCATTTTTTTGTTAAATATAATAAGAAAATTATGTTAAACGCGATCATATATTATTTTATAATTTAATTTGTTTGATATAGGTACAACTTTCATTAGATAGTAAATTCTATACATCCAAAAAATTAAACAAATTTGAATTATTATTTTTCAAAACAATTTTTTATTTTTTCTATATTTTTTTTTTTCATACATAATATATGTTATTGAAAAAAATTGAGTAATAAAATAAAGTGTTTTTTTTTTCAATTTTTCTAATAAACATCATGTAATATATAAGTACATGAAAGATTTACATATTATATAAATAGTAAAACAATACAAAACATGGTGATTATTTCTATTTTAAACAGAAAACAAATAAATGCCATAGAGTTTTACTCTTGTGTTCATAGATGTGTGAATGTTCGACTAGGAAGCACAGACCACTCATCAACAACAATTTCTATTTAGTACAAACAACAATAATACAATTTATATTAATTGTATTACTGATGCGTTTTATACAGTCTTGGTTGTTATACAAAATTTTATAGTGTAAAACTATATTACAAAATGTACATTATGCATATTGGTATGCAAATTTTTTTTTGTATACGAACTTTTACATATATTAATTAATTATAATAATAATAATAGTAATAATAGTAGTAGTAGCAGTAATAGTAGCTTTCAACACGTACAGTAAATGATCGGTTAATGAACAATGCAAACCGTGAACACTTTCTTCAAAAAATTATTACATTCAAATAACCCTCACCTTACAAAACAAACACAAGAAGCAACGATGCTGTGTTTAACATTTGTAGAATTATTTAATATTTTTTTTTCTTCTTCTGATGATCAATTAAGTGTGGGTAATGAACATGGTCTTTAGTGACCACCCACTTTATATTTCTTTAACTAACAATTCAATTTAAAGATCTGTTTCGTCTAGACAATGGTGTGAATAGACCACGAGGATCGCCATATACCGGTTCAAATGCTGAAAATGGTCTTAATGGTGAAGTTGGACTATGAGGACTAGACATGTTCGATGTGTTCATAGTAGGAGAATATGGTGTGCTGGTTTTTCTTACTGTCGGTGGGCATTTATCGGCTGTAAGTGAAAAATAGTATTTTCATTTTCTTTCCAATCTATTATTTACTTATGTTAGATTTTTTAAAAGCAACACTTACCAAATACGGATCTATTCTTGATCGTTAAATCAACGTTTGTCACTCTATTTTTCCATACTAAAAATAAGAACAAAGTATATTAATTTCTCATATATATATATTATATAAATTCATAAAAATAAGAATTGATCTTACTGTAGAAACAAGTTATCACTATTACAGCGAATGTTCCAAATGTGTATCGATGGAAATATATATAATCAACCCATTGAATACCCGAGAAGGGCATGAAATGATCGTACTTCGAAATACGAATGAAAAGCTACAAAATAAATAGAAATGTTAAAGTAAAGTAGAAGTATCATGAAATTATTAATTTAGATTTTTTTGTCTATTTACTTACAGAAATATTTTGTTTCGTTAGTTCATTCGATACGATTATTTTTTGTCCTTGAATATCTTCTTGATTATTCATTAAACGAAGACGATATTGAGTCCAAGATTTGAATACCAATCGACCACTTACGGTTATTCCATCGGGTACTTCGATCTTCAAAATAATTACAAATATTTGTATATTTAATATAATCTAAATATTAAGAAAAAAAAAAAAATAGTATAACTTACAGTAACATGTTCCAATACTGATTGCAATCCAAAGATTTCTAGCGTGGCAACGGGTACTGTTTGAGATTGTGGATTGACAAACAATATTTCTTTTGTACTAATGAATATAGGTGGAAGATATGTTAGTTCTAAAGGAGTAGCTTCAAAATCACGACTTCGTGCACTAATTTGAATACGAGTTTCTAATGTACTGAGAGGAACATTTGGTGAATCCATTGGTATTATATCACAGTAATAGAAACCTACAAGTATAAACAATATTTTTGTTCAAATATTTCATATACCATCTTGTACGATATTTAATATATATTTTATACTAACCAGTCGCAATGCTAAATCGTGGTTTCACGAGAAACATATCTTTTACACCTATCAAGTTACTTGGTATGAGTTGTATATTGCATGTGTATGGAAAAGTAGTAAGCGTGAATGAAGAAGAAGTTCTACATCCTCCTAAACCTCTTGACAACACGTTATTTTCTTTAATCTGTTCATCTTTACTTTTAAGTACAAGTGGTACACTAAATGTTTCAAAACCAGTTACATTTCTACTTCGTATCGGTACTATAGATACCTATAGGAATTATAAATATATGAAATATATTTTTTTAAGCATTATATATTATTAAAAATATAAATTCAAAATATACCTTAGATATCGCTTGAACAGTTACTTCTATCTCGCCCTGCATTTGAGTGGCAAGACTATGCTTCACAACAGCGTGCCCTACGTTTCGTGCTCTAGCTATTCCAGTTATCGGATCAATAAGCAATATTTCCGGTGCAGTGGATTGCCAATAACCTGGATCACCATCAGATGAAAGAAGTGGCATAGAGAAACATACGATATCGCCTACAGTCAAAGTAGTCTATAAAATAATATAATATTGATTAAAATAATGAATAATTTATATGATTAAAAAAATAGAAGTTTTATAAGTATAATATACCTTTGTTGGAAAAACTATATCACCTAGTCTCATATATACATAGTCAAACATTCCTTGATATTTATCATTAAAAACTTTAACAACTAATTCTCCATTTTCAATAAATTTAGTAGTTATCAAATTTCCAGGATTAATTATAAATGTTGCTAAATCAACGCGATTTAAAGTTGTCTTTATATTCGTTTCAGCAGCATGAAATTTCATACCAACATTGTCGTAATATTCTACAATATAATCCAATTCCATTCCTTTAGGTAACATATTCAATTCTTCTCCACTTCTTATACGTAATTTTGAATGTAGAGAAAGCATCATGTAATGAATTGGTTTAACCTATAGTCAAAATTTATCATGTATTACATATTAGAATCATATTGCATCATATGTGTATTATAATATAAAATATTGCATATTAACTTACATCAACAACAATGGTTAATATCTGTTTGACATTATACATTTCTACGTTTGTAATAGAAATAATAGTTCTTCCAAATTGATCACCTGACTTGATAACTCCATTATGAATAGTAACACTTTTGGATAATAAATTTAAAGCATTAGGATCCTTAGAATTATTTTGTTGTGTACTTGATATAATGTGATACATAACAGATCCATGTTTATCCCAATTAGTTTGTAATTTTAACATTGAATTTGGAGCCATTAATATTACTGATGAACCACTTGGTAAAGGAGGATAAATTAAACGTAATTCTTCAAAAATTTCGATTTTTACAGATGTAGTATACGTCACTTCGTTTCTAAGACCACTTAATTTGCTAGATGGTACGGTGACATTTAAATAAACGGTGACTGAACCAGCATCAACAGCTTTTGCTCTTATTGATACTTCATTTTGATAACGAATATTTATTCCTGTACCTTCGTACATATTATGTAAACTTAATAAGTTAGAATCGCTAGAAGACCACGAAAAAGATAATGGCAATTGCATAGATCCTATTATAAGTGGTGTTAAATATTCTGGAATACCAAATGCCCAAAGTGGAAAAGTACCTCCTATTTTGACGCGAGTTATAGGTGTTACAATTTTAACACCTTCGAGATACAATACGTGAATGGTAGTAGAATCTTCAGAATAAATGATTTTATTTCCTTTAGCATTAAGACCAATTGCTCTTGCTATAATTTTAGTTTGTCCATTTGATTTACCTTCAAAAACTCCATTATGATCAATACTTAAGATTTCATTATTCTTTGTTGAAAATTCAATTTCGGCGTTAGTTGGACCACCAATTGCTTGAATTTGATAGATTGTTCCAATTAATATTGTTAAATTTTTTGGATGTATTTTTAAAGGAAGAAAAACTTGAATGGAAACTGGTTCACTTTGGATTATTAATTCATTTGCTTCACTGACAAATATTAATTGAGTTTCACCTTCGTCAAGACCATAAACTTTAAATAGCACTTGATCGTACGGTGGATTACCATGTTCGTTTACAGATAATTGTTTGATCTCGATATATTTGTTTTCAAATTTAGGTTTAAAATTTAATATATCTAAGGATGGTAATTTAATTATATTTCCATTGGTATCCAATAATTTGAGTGCAGCAATTACACATTTGCCTTTTTCAATTTTATTGATAACTTCTGTCTCTATTACAGCTAACTGTTGTACTTCGATAACAGCTTCTGCTTCTTTTGAAGGTAAACAAAGATCTCTTAACGATATATGAACTATTCCTGCTTTTTTTGGCTTAACGCTAATTACTTTTGTTGGTTCCATGTAACGAACATCAGCCACATCATTGGAACTTAAAATAAATTCGTAATATCCAGAACCTTGAGTAACTTCCAAGTAATATTTTCCATTAGGATCATTTAAAATGACTAATCTGTTTGGATTAAGAATGGTATCGTTTACCAAAGTTATTTCTATGCAATTTTCTATTATAGGCGTTTCAATATTGCCTTTATCATTTTGCACAGGAAATGCAGGCCATTCAGGTGTTATTCGTAATTTTCCAAGTACATGCTTTTGATATCCAGTTATTATAGCACATATGGTAAACTTTCCAAAACGTTTAGTAAATACAACATTTTGATAATATCTTTTTGGCAAAACTACTTGCATATCTGTCAAAGTTTCTTCTATGGAAGCAGTTGATATTTCCATGTGACCAGCAGCAGGTGGTTTTATATTCCATTCGATGTTTAAACTAGTAATGTTATCAAATTGTTTGCCATCTTCGTCTTTAACCATTATAATAAACTTTTGACTCTTATCGCTGTGAGCTAATATTTTGTCAGGATTTTTTTTAAGTGGACAACTATTACTATCTTTCACTTCTGGTTGAAGATAAATGTATCTTGGCTTTCCACAAGTAACTTGTGTCGTTTGTTTTGCATAAGTAGTCTTACAATTTGGTAAGAGAGGAACGTTTGACACAGTATATGTTAATGTTACTTCTCCCAATGCTTTGCAAAGTACTTCAAACACAGATATATCGTAGGATATACTTAACGAATGCATGTGCTCTGTTACCTCAGCAATATTTTCATTAGAACTTATCATTTTACGTGAATAACTTTGTGATTTACCAGACCACGGTTGAGGACCACCCTTGAATACTATTTTTCTGGAAGATCCAACCGCAAGTAAGGTTTCTTTACTTTTAGGATGTACAGCTGTTAATGGTTCATACGCCGATACAGTTATGTTGTCTGTTAAATATTTTCCATTAGCATGATATGCTACTGTAACTTGAGATATACCAACACTCGAACTTATTATTGTAATTACAGTGCATGATATTCCAATAGGTTGTACATCTTTGCTGGAATTCTGTACAAAATTACCATCAGGAATAATCGTTTCAAAATTGATATCTCTGCAATCATTAAATGGAATTTCTTTGCTATCCGATCCATTGGTTAATTTTCCATATAATGCAATATGCAAGTGTATAGGTTCGCCAACAGCTGCTTCGATACTGTATTCAATAATTTTTAATTTTGATGGTGGTAATACATGTATCTTTGCTGTATCTTTATTATACTGATTTCTTGACATTGCAACTATTATTTCTGATGAACCTGGAGCCAAGATTTTAATGCCTCCATTTTGAGAAACTGTTACTACGGATGAATGTCTACTTGTCCATGTATATGAACCATCACCACCATTTGCTTTTAAAACAATGTCATACCTAAAAATAACATATCAATTCATTACATAAATATATTGTTATTATAATAAAAAAATGTAAATATTTAATACAATTTAACATACCTTGATTTACTTCTAGAATCCCATAGAACGGCTAATACACGAGGACGTACGGTTACAAGGGTGTGTATCACAAGTTCGACTTCCGCAGAAAGTGGCGAAGGTAAGCGAATTTCTTTTCCATTTTTATCCGTTATTCCATATAAAGTAGCTTTAACTAACATAGTTCCACAAGTGATAGGAACACCAACAATATAAGTTCCATTTTGTGATACAAATTTGGTATCAAAATAATTTTTATCCACTTTAATAGATACTTTTACACCTTCACCGATATGAAACTTGTGATCTTTACTAAAAGTTTAAATAATTTATTATATAAATGAATTTTATAATATTCATTTTAATATATAGATTTAACATACTTGTCATATAACTCAACAACGATCTCATGCGTTTGTCCTAAGATCAAACCCCAATTTCTGTTAGGTAACACTGCCAGAGAAATATACGCTACGCTATTTATATTGACCACAGCTGATGGTAAAATAACTGGATATTCATCTCTAACATTTTTATCGTGTAAAAATACTTTAGTTCTGCCCATTGAAAGTGCATATGCATTGCTTATGTTATTATCAATATCTAACATGTCTGGATTTTCAGCTTCTAAGTAATATTGACTAAAAGGAAGATTGATTGTTTCTAAACGACCTTGCTGAATCTAAAAAAAATATAATAAAATTTATTACAATATTATTTATTATTAATTGATAAAACAAGTAGTTAATTTTGAATTTGAATTTATTCTAAATACCTGCATTATTTTATATTTGAAACTATCAAATTGCATCATAGTCACTTCAGAAGGAATAATAATTAGATTAGCTATAACAATTAATTCGACTTCTATTGGCAGTACATGTCTGTATTCCAGATAAGGTAATTTTACAGAAACCTAAGAAAAAAAAAAGGTACGTTATTTGTTGTTCTAAGGCAAAGGGGTTAAATATGAATTACCTTAGCTGTGCCAGTACGAATTCCTTCTAAAAGTACAATGTGACCTTTTTTACCAACTGCATCTAATTCCGCCACTGTTAGAGGTGTTTCATATTGCGATTCATGATACGTTAAGAAACGTAAAACATCACCAAGAATTTTATTATCGGATTGAGAGCGTTTATCGAGATGACCAATGTTCCATAAAAATTCAACTCCAGCCAAAGTTGTAAATTCATTTCCTATAAAAAATATTTATATTAATTTGTTATTAATTGATTAATTAACAATTATATATTATTTTTAAAACATTGTAAAATAATACCTTGTTCATCATAGGCTCGTACTTCAAAAGCTTCAGGTGCTTCTTCAATGTATAACTCTCGTGTTGTTGTAACAAGATTTAATGAAAATATTGCATCTATTATAACATCACAACGTAACAATTGTCCTGTGTTAACATCTTCTGCCAAAACAATAGCTGTACTCCTTGTTGATTCTCTGGTTATAGTTTGAATCATAATACTTGACGAACAACTTTTGTCAAAGTTTTCACTTATCGGAATAAGTTGAATAATATCCAAACGAGAAGTTGACCTAAAAATATTTTTTATATTTATATTAACACACACATATGTTCAATAATTATAAAATAATATATCATTAATACTTCACCCAGTATAATTTGTAATAAATTTTAGGTTATGTAATAGATAATTTCAAACAAAAAAAGAAAAGAATTATTGTATTAAGTTAGAGTAAAAAAATATTGAAATATTTAAAAAATATCAATTATTCAATAATGTGTTAAAAATGATCGATCATGTGTCAATCAAAAGTATTTTAATCACCATTGATAACAGCCGCCATCGGTTACTTCGAGGGTAAAATTAACCGCAAAATCATTAAATACAGGTAACAAAACTCTCGGCACATTTAACCTATGTGTCGTAACATTGTTCGTTCCGTACAATAAAAAAATATAGAAAAATAATACATTATAAAACATATTTGTCGTTGAAATGAAACCCCGGTTTCTTTTTCCCTCCATGTGATCGAAGTTTAGCTAAACTTCCCGGCATTTAAGATAATTACAAAGATTCGATAGATCGATTCGATACAAAAAATACATCGATATATCGTAATATCGTTAAGTTGAACAATCGATTGTATTACCAAGTCAAATTCACACTTTGCATTTTAATGACTTTTTTTTTAGAAATAATTTTTCGTCAACATTATTTATAACAATAAAATAATTGATTAAAAAAAATTAACAAATTAAAAAATCGAAGAAAAATATGTCAATGTAAAATAAATAAAAATTGATAAAAGTTGTATTGAAATATTCTTGAAAGGCGGCCATTTTGGTGTCAAATTGAAAGTAACCAATGAGAGAACGTCTTTGCACATGGTCACCTCCCAGAATGTTAGTTCGCTAGCAGACAGCAGCGAACCATGGCGTGATAAGGGTGTCTCTGCACACGAGGGACTATTACATTCATAGTACTTGGCGCCGAATCGTACAATCATAATCTTTGATATTTATGTATATTACAAAAGAATTATTAGTGCACGTGCGTCAGGTTAAAGTTGTTTTATAACCAATTTATTACCTTATTCGAATATTGATCGTAGTTACTTCGACCACGCTGAGACGGGCGTTAGTCTCCCGCACACATTTATTTAACGTAAGTATCCATACAAACATAATTTATCCTTTTCTTTTTTTTTTCTTCTTTTCTTTTCTTTTTTTTTAACGTATTCATTGACTAACGTGTAAATCATTCCAATACAATCGTCCAATGTTTTTTTTTTATACCGAATGATTAATCGATCCGTTTTTTCTTTTCTTTTTTTTCTTTTTTTACTTTAATATCGTCGTTTAACTCTTCACACGTTTTGCACCCGGGTATGACATAACCATCCCAGAATTCCTTAGTACCCTATGTACTGTATTTTACAAAAATTTCTTTTTTTTTTTTTTTAATTTAAATACAAAATTCGTGAAAGAAAATTCATATTAAAATTATCATTTAATTGATATTGTACGAGTCATGTGATTAGATTTCAATAAATGGCGCGAACGTCTTACATATTGTAATAAATTTAATATATATATTTTTTTTCTATCTCTACAAACGTTTTTATCTTTTAATCCGCGTATTATCAACGATAAGTTATTAGCTTTGTTTCTATCAATATCGTCAGATTAACTTACCTGAGTAATTATAATTGATTATATCTCAATGTTCGAGCATGTTTCATTTTTTTTTTTTTTTTATAAAAATCATTTTTATTTATATAGAATAGGGCGTTAAGATAATTGAAGAAGAATGATATATCAAAATCTACGATGCTTTAATTTATCTTGTCAATCATTCGCACTTCAATTACTCAATCGATACACGACGTAGGTCTGATTTAGCTATTCATTATATTTATATGTCTACAAAACTTAATTATAGATTTTAAAACTATTATAGTTATTTATTTTCAGAGAGATATGTACACAGAATTCTATTTTTATATTCATCAATAATAGTTCATGTATAATGATGATCAAAAATAGAATTTTTCAGGAAATAGTATAATAATATTTGACAAAATTAACATTTCATCTATTGGTGTGTTGGCAATGTTTACTAAATAACATAAAATCAAAGATAATATAATATTCTAAACACATTTGTTACTTTCCATAGTTCATTTTTATCTTGTTTTATTTTGCCAGACAGTTATTATACAGTTTCCAACTTAAAATCTGAAACATTTAATAGACAAAAAATACTATAATTATTTTGTAAAAGAAAAAGTGAAAAGTTTAAAGAAAAAATAATAATATAATTTATAGATTGAACGTTAGTTTGTCAAAAGCCGCATTACAATCGATCGTAATACACCTGGCTACGCTTTGAATCTGCGCGCCACAGTTCGATGAATCACGTGGTCAGTTCAAGCGCGCGTTTGTTTATCCATTTCTACGCTAGATGGCTTCTTACTTTTACTCGTTAACATTAGATTAAACACTTTTTCTTAACAAAATAATTATTACAAATGATTTTAACTTGTTAACAATTATTACTAATATACTTTTAATGTATACAAAATCGTATAGACTTGATAAAAATTGTATTTATTCAAATTATAACTTATAAAATAGAAATCTTGTTGTTCAAACTTTCTCGCTAATGTTCGAAATAGTTTGGATTACTATATAAGAAGGAAAAGGTATAACTTTCATCAGGTAGTCTGATACTTCCCAGTACCTTGGTGCATGTGTCGCATCAGAGGAGTTTTGAAATATCCTCTTATGCGAACATAACTTATATTTCTCTTCTCATTGGCCGAATTTATTGGTCAAAAACCTTTCCTTGGTGTTTTAAAGCCTTGTTCGTGGACACTTACAATGAAATTTCGTTAGCACCATCCCGTCCCTTGATATTTGTCTTGGTTTCTGATTTCTCTAAACCCGACCGAATCAAGGGGTTATATCTTACTGTGGAAGTGACGTTGACTATCTTTTTGCAAAAATTTTTACAATATATTTTTTTTGTTATTATATTTTTTAATCTTTAGATCGATTAAATCATTACTGATAACTATGTTCTTATCTTCTTGTAAATTTGTATCGATTATCATAAAAAATCGTAGCCCATTTAGAATAATATTCTTAAACGAATAACACGGTCATATTTGTTAACACTTTTATTCTTACAATTAGACAAATTAAAATTACTGACTAAACCAAGCTACGTTAATTTTCATCAAAATGTTTCCTTTACTAACGTTAATTGATAAACTCTATTACAGTCTTCTATATAATTTTTATATAAATAAAAAATAAAATTTAATAATAAGAAAAAAAAAAAAACAACTCACGTGCATTCAATATCGCAAAGGAATTGTAGTAGTGTCGACTTTAAAAAATCTTTACGAATAAGATTTGTATTTTCAAACTGTTAATTGACTTCACGAGTAAAGAAGCCATGACCTGTGACTTATTTTTGATTCGAGTAACTCGATGCAAATTAGTTTGAACGTCCGGTTTTACATTCCTTTTACAGTTTATTTCGTGGACAATAATTTTCAATTTATTCAAAACGAAATTGTTTGTGATTTTTTTTTTACCTAAAATTACAAAAGCAAAAAAAAAAAATCCTCCCCGAAAATAGTCGAATAATTTTCAAACTGTCTCTCATATTTTTCTACAACATTGTTCATAAAATTTGATTTATTAACAAAAACTAATATAACATCAAGTAGTGTGTATCGTTGATGAGATTAGATTGGTACGAAGCTTTTCTAACATTAGAACGATGATATGCCAATTAATTGGCCATGACCACGAGACATTTTCAAGAGAAAAGAGGACAGACATACACATATATTATTTTCTCTCTTTCTAATTTGTCCCTAATGGATTCGACAATTTTACTCGTATTTCTATCCCTTTCTCTTTTTCTCTTTCGAACGAGCACGCGTGAAGTGCCGTGTCGTGCCATACCGTGTCGTTGTTCTGCAATCGTTAAAAGGTGTGCCACCGATACCCGATTAGTTCTCATCAAAGTTTGCTACTGGTAAGATTAGCTCTTTAAAAAAATCCTGATAATATCTTATCTCATCTTATTTTTATTTATTATTCCATTTCTGTTTCTAATTATATATATATATATAATATAATACGTTTTATTTTATTTTACTATAATAACCTGTAATAGCACAAAATATTTAATATTAAAAAGAGATTTAATGTCTTTAAATACACATGTATTCAATATTTTTCAATATTTTGTGCTACTGGAGATTATTCAGCCATTTTATTTTTATTTATTTACAATTTTAGATTATTAAATCTAAAGATATCATAAATATTGAATTAATCTCATTTATATCATTTCTACAATTATTATCTTTCCTCGTCTCCACTTTCAAATTTCCCGCCTTATTAAATTGGAGATTAAAAAGAGATTGAATGTCTTGTTAATATGAAATACACATGTATTCGAATATTTTACAATATTTTGTGCTATTAGGGATTATTCAGCCATTTTATTTTTATTTATTTACAATTTTAGATTATTAAATCTAAAGATATCATAAATATTGAATTAATCTCATTTATATCGTTTCTCCAATTATTTTCTTTCCTCGTCTCCACTTTCAAATTTCCCGCCTTATTAAATTAATTAAATTTGTAAAAAATATATTTTGTTTTGTTTAGAAAACGTGAACTAATTACCAGTTCTATGGAAGAGGAAGAAGAGGAGAACAAGAAGAAGAAGAAGAAGGTGGAAAGTAAAGAAGATGGGAAGGAAAACGATGAAGAAGAAGAAGAAGAAGAAGTTAGTGAAAATGAAAGTGAAAATGACGAGAAAGAGGATAAGGAAAATGGCGGGAAAAATGAAAGCGACAACGACACGTTTGAAAATGATTCAGCATTTGACTTAGAGGGTATGGAATATACGCAAACAGGAAGGAAGACCAGTATTTTCAATTTCTATGCTTTTAATGAGAAAGGTGAGTTTTTTTTTTTTCTAGCACTCGTCTAACGTGACTTTTGACTGCAAATATACATGCGTACATTTTTTTTATTGCTAATGCAAATCTTTACATATAGTTTTATGTTAATTTTCTTTTTAAAAAATTTATCATACATCCAAAAGTTAGGGGAAAAAAAGTAGAAATTGATTTTTAAACTTTGTCCTTCAATCTCTTGCTACCACCAACGTGTCATGGCTGAAAAAAATAGGTGTCACACATTTTTGGCTACTTCGATCACCTTCTAAAAATACTATAGTTTCTGAAATGTGTTAAAATAAAAAAAAAGTAAAAATAATAATACAACTTAAATTTCATTTTAAACGATCGACATTAAACTCATCTTCCTCGGTAACGTTTTTTTCTTTAATCATTTGGATCAATTTAAAATCCTCATTTACAGCATAATTTATCCATTTAAATATCATAAAAAAAAGGGATTCAGTTTCCTTATATTTTTTCCTTATTGCAGAATTGATGTTGATTATTTCTTTTTATTTTTATCACGTAAAAATACGATAATAAAAAAAAAAAACTCAGAAGCACAATTTGTTGAATTTTCTGTTAGACCTTGAATGAAATTTTATGTAATGTCACAAGTCACGTGACTAGAATAATTTAAATATCTAAAAAGCAGGAAGAATGACCGTGAAAAGTTGGCAATCTGAAGAAATTCAACATAATACGTAACAAAATTTAGAACAAAAAAAAATGTGCTTTTATATTTTAGTATCGTGTCGCGAAGTTTTACGTAGCTGTTAAAAAATATAATTGAGTTATTATTGATAATGAAAAGTAAACATATTGGGATCTTTGGCAGGGCCGTAGCGTGGCGTAGCAAATTCGACCTATCTACTCTAATTTTGAATTTAGCCACCAGATAGCGTATTCAAGTGCTACAGATCCCAATATGCGAAACAATATTTTCAAATGAATGAGTTGATTGTTATGCAGTGATAGAGACATTTGATAAAATGATTGTGTATGAATGCGATTGAATTTGTCGTGTTAGTCAAACGTGTAATGTCAACAGCCTTTAAAAGGAGTGTTAGTTGTATATATACACACTACATATGCATTCCATTATCATGATGCATAATTTTAACTGCAGTATGAAAGGAGGAAGTAGAATCGTATTATATTGACAAGATAATTTACATACTTCTCTTGTTCTTTTCCTATTAAATCAACACTACTGTAAATTCATAATTATTATTTTTATTTTGATTTCATGGTCAATGAAAAAAAATTGGTACAAAAAAAAAATCTTATGAAAATTGTTCGTCATTCTCTACTTGTGTCAGTCAAAATTCATAAATGGCCACGAATGAGAGAAGGAAATAAACTGCTATGACGTATGTGCAAGTACGTAATATAAACAGGGTCGAGCCTTCCTCAGTCATCCAATCAGCTAGCTCGTCTTCCATGCCAATGTGACGTCATTCATCGCATCTGGATAGATATATAGGGTGTCCTACTTTGATCTGTTCTGCAGTAGCATGATACCACACTAAATCGTGTGACAGATAATGAAAAAAAAAAAAGAAAGAAATATTTCTTTCTCTTTTTGAAGAGAAAAACATTCAAATCAGTTTCTGCATAATATACTAAAACAAAGAAAATCACAGCTGTATAAATCAGTAAAAAAAAAAGAAAAATGAGGTTAAAATGTTGTTTGTATTGATGAAAAGAATGCGTTTTTTTTTTTTTTTGTATGGACTCATTGAAACCTTTTTATTAAAGAATTTGTAGAGAAAAGAAATGTTGAAGAATTTGCATAGAAGTATGGTTTAAAGGTTAGATAGTGTGCACATGTGTGTGCATCTCTTCTCGTTTAATTAGAAAGTAGAACGTCACGTTGGTAGAGCCTCTATTTGAAATTATGTCACGTCCTTTACACATCCATTCATCTTTCATCGAGCATATTGCACACACACATATATACATTGAACTTATGTACTCAGATGAATTCATTTGTATTTTTTTCTTCAATTAATTAAAGAATTTTAGACATAAGTTTCAATGTTCAATTGATTATTAATTGTAACTTTAGTTTACTCAAATGATAAATATTTGATCTATTGAATTGTTGATCAATGCGTGTCGATATTACAAATGAATTCATTTGTGCGTGTTCCTTTCGAATATAAAAATGTGTAATAGAGTAGTAATATTTAGTCGTCCATTTTTATTTTTATCACGTTTTCGAGAAGAGATAAAATTGTCCCTGAAGTTATAAAAGATAAAAACAAAATGAGAGGGAATGAGAATTCAAAGTTAAGTTCAATGAAAGAATATGTTGAAATCTTATTTACAATTAGATTTTTTTTTTTTTTTTATTACTAAGTTTCTTCCTGAACAGTTCAGTTTCAAAGTACAAGTTAATAAATGTTGTTTTATTATTTGCTTGTTATATAATTTACATATATTCAGTATTTTGAAAAGGAAATTTGATCAATCAATTAGTATAACAAAATAACATACTTTTATAAATAATTGTTTAATAAAGACAGAACATGAATATGAGGACGGACTTTAAACATTAGAAAATTTCTCATTGATCATGTTGTCATTAATAATATGTGTACATACATAATATCAAAGTAGCAAAGGAAATTAAAATAAAAGTTACGTAAAATGTAAAAAGTAGTAGAACCGGTAGTAATAGTTCGATACATTCCCTGACACATACGTAAGTGCATTTATTATATCTATATAGTAGTATATATACATATATACATGTACATGTATGATTATAAATCGGATCTCTCGAGGAAATGACCAATGCTATAGGGTGATTCAAAAGTTCTTAGCACATAGCACAATTTTGATTTAGAGGTTATATAGTTTCTGTAAGGTTTTTTCAATAGATGGCGCTATATTACAATTGAATTATTTTGAAGCTTGGTTTTCTTTGAAGGTGTTTCACTTCTACCGTGTGTGATCTGCACACATCTGTATTTTTTTTTGTTTTTATAATAATCGTCTACTTAATTTATAATATCAATAATAAATAATATCAATTAAGTGTAATAAAAAATATGTTGTTTTTTTTTTCTTCATCTTTGAATTTATAAAAGGAAAGAAAGGGAAAGAAAAGTGAAGAGTGGGCTAATGTAAACTTTGATCAAATACAAAGTTGGATGAATTATTACGATTAAGTTCTGGAGGCATTACAGGACAAAAAACTTTGCCTTCGAGATTGACGAATCGTAAGCTTTTGATAGTAGTATTGCGTCAGAGTACATATTCGAGTTCAGTTTAAAAAAGTACATATAACGTACTCATTCGTAGTACATTTCTCTTTGGTTATTCATTTCTACATCGATAATAAACGTTCACGAGTCGTTTGAGTTTTCTCCTGCTTTTACTTTTATATATATATATTTTGTGACACAATAGAAAATTAAGAAGAGTAGAGAAATCGTTTGGTAATTAAAAATTATAGTTGTGTGTACTTGAAGTTTTACATAATAATAATAATAATAAGAAAATGTATTATTTTAACAAAAAGTTTTACATCGAACGCCATCATTCAATCAAATCTCACACAGTGTTTAAACTTCATTTATTATAAATTAATCATTGTGATAATTATAGTTATGTGTACTTGAAGTTTTACATAATAATAATAATAATAAGAAGAAGAAGAAGAAAATGTGTTATTTTAACAGAAAGTTTTGCATCGAACGCCATCTTTCAATCAAATCTCACACAGTGTTTAAACTTCATTTCTTTTTTTTTTATTATTATTATTATTCATTTATTATAAATTAATCATTGTGATAATTATAGTTGTGTGTTAATATTATCATTGTTGGTGAACATTTATTTGATATTGTTAGTAATAATTTAAGTGATAATTATTAAATGAAAAATGTGTACGCGCGACGATTCAAAATTGGTGCCGACGACATCTTGCTGTTTTAAAAAAAAAAACAAAATATTATTAAGAAAAATTTATTAGAAATTATTCGAATTAATTATGACTTTTTTTTTTTTTTTTTTTTTTTTTTTTGTTTAGACACGACGACATTAGATTTTTATTAATTTTTCTTTTTTTTTTTTCCATTTATTTATATTCGATTTGCGTGTAAGTTTAATAATGAAATAAGTTGTTTTAATAATAACACGAAGAACTTTATTTTATTTTATATAATTTCGAAAAAAATTTCTCTGATAAGAAATAAAAGAAATTAAAGGTCACAGATAATGAAGTTATGTTCGAGAGAGAGAGAGAGAGAGAGAGAGAGAGAGAGACAACAAAAATTAGATTACGAGATGTTCGATCTCACTTAATTGTCTTCGATAAATATCATTCACACACACACACACACACTCACACACACACACATTATTCATGTGAGATAAATTAGAGAAAGAGCAGGTCCAATGTAAATTACGAAATGATTGATTAAAAAGTGTCATCTAAATTAAGACAATTTTAGATCGAGATTTCAGGATTACTCAACTTTTGTTGATCTTTTGATCTACGATGGTCAAAAGTGATTTGTGTTTAGATAAAAAAAATTTCCATTTGATAAATGTAATTATAAGGAATGACTATTTTTAATTTAAAACATTCAAGTTTCAATCAAAATCTACTATAATCTTTTCAATGAAGATAGGATTTGTAAATCGATCTATATTTGTTTATCAAATCTAATTTGGAATATTTTAAGTAACAATTGTGATTGATATATATATATATATATATATATATATATATATATATATATATATATATATATATATATATATATATATATGTTCTCAATCTCAATTTTGTCGATTAGAGATTACTTGTAAGTCATCGATGACTAATTCGATCAATCGACATTGAATCTATCTTTTTTTTTTAATTTAATTTAATTTAATTTTATTATTTCTATTATATATGTTTTTTTTTTTTTTTTTTGTATTTTTAGAAGCAATGCCAAGTACTTCGAAAAAACAACAACAGGGTCCATTGATCGGTGTGATAGACGTTGGTACACGGACAGTAAGATTTGTGGTAAGAATAATCTTGTCTAACAATTTTACTTAGAAGTTTATTATACTTTGAAGATAAATAAATATCATCATCATCCAATTCTCTTATCTTGACGTTGGTATTAGATTACGATTGTATCACAGACTCATCATCATTTCCGTTACGTCGATAGATAACATGGTATGAAGGTTAAAGGGGAATAAAAAAAAAAAAGGGGGACTCTCTCGTACAAAGTTACAAAAATTATTCGAGTATAGTAACATTTAATAATTAAAATAAATAATACAGGAATTGATGAGGATATTGCAGGACGTAACGAAAAGGGGTTTTCAAATTGATTTGAAAATTAAATTAAACGAGAGACAAAAGTAATAGAAAATCAATGTCTTATTTTTCTTTTCCTTTTTTAGGTTTTCGATTCGAGGCATATAACAGAAGTAGCTTCTCATCAGATCGATATTGAACAATTGAGCCCAAAGGAAGGTTGGCTTGAAGAGGATCCAAAGGAAATACTTTTTGCTGTTAAGGCATGCATTAAAGATGTCATAAAAAGGTTTGAATCACTCAATCTCAAGGTAGAAGACATCGTCACGATCGGTGTAACAAATCAGAGAGAAACAACTTTAGCGTGGGATAGTATAACCGGTGAACCCTTTTACAATGCTATAGGTTTGTATTTTTGTTTCTTTTTTTTTTTTCGTGTTTTTACACGAATCCACGATTCTTTTATTTAATCTACCGTAACGATGAAATCTTCTGTTTTTGTTTTATATATATATATATAAATTTATTATTTTTTTTGTTAAAGTGTGGACTGATATTAGAACCGCTTCGACGGTCGATCAAATCATTGCCAAGTTCCCAGACAAAAGTAAAAATCATCTGAAACCACTTTGCGGTTTACCGGTCAGTCCATTTTTTTCTGCTTTGAAAATCCGATGGTTGAGGGATAATGTACCGGCTGTTAGAAAAGCAATGCGTGATAGACGCTGTAAAGTTGGTACGATGGATACTTGGATTATTTGGGTATGTAAAAACATTTGTTTTTCCTTTTTAATTTTCATACAAAAAAAAACGAAAAACAAAAAAAGAGAAAAGAAATAATAATTCAAACATTTAATTCTGTTTGACAGAATTTAACCGGTGGTAAAGATGGTGGATTGTACATAACCGACGTAACAAATGCCTCAAGAACGATGTTGATGAACATTGAAACACTTTCGTGGGATCCCACGTTGTGTAGATATTTCGATATTTCAATGCAAATGTTACCCGAAATTAAAAGCAGTTCAGAAATTTATGGTAAAATGGCAATCGGCCCTTTGGCGGGTATTCCCATATCGGGCGTAAGTTTTCTATTTCCTTACTTCATTTCTTATTTTCAAATGACACGTATACATTTCTGTTTTTTTTTTCTATTTGTAGATACTTGGTAATCAACAGTCTGCATTGGTCGGACAAAATTGTTTGAAAAAAGGCCAAACTAAGAACACTTACAGAAGTGGATGTTTCTTACTTTGTAATACAGGAACTACGGTAATTAATAACAATCATTATGGTATTGGGATCTCTAGTATTTAAATACGCTATCTGATGGCTAAATTCAAAATTAGAGTAGATAGGTCGAATTGCTACGCCTACGTCCCTGCCACAGATATGATCCCAATTGTATTTAATTAATTTATGCTGCAATTTTGATTCCTCATCATGAAAACTTATTTCAAGTTGTTATATTATTTCAGAGAGTTTATTCTTCTCACGGATTAGTCACAACTGTTGCATATCAATTAGGTCCAAACCGTCCTGCTGTTTATGCATTGGAAGGTTCGATTGCGGTAGCTGGTGCAGCTATTAGATGGTTAAGGGACAATCTGAAACTTATCAAAGATGTTCACGAGAGCGAACATTTAGCACAAAGAGTATTTAGTACAGGCGATGTTTATTTCGTACCTGCATTCACTGGACTTTATGCTCCTTATTGGAGAAAAGATGCTAGAGGGTTCGTTGTTGTCTATATTTTATTTGACACAAATTATTTATAATTATAATTAAATATTATTATTTTCATTTTTTATTTGATACATTTTCAATTGAAATTAATAACTATATAAAATAATTAAGTAAACATTTGTTTTGTAGAATAATTTGTGGTCTCACTGCCTTTACTACGAAACAACACATAATAAGAGCATGTCTCGAGGCAGTATGTTTTCAAACGAGAGATATCTTAGAAGCGATGTATAAAGATTGTGGTTTTCCATTAAAAAGATTAAATACCGATGGTAAAATGTCGACAAATAATCTTCTCATGCAATTACAAGCAGATTTATGCGGTATACCAGTTTGTAAGTGTTTTCATTCTTCAATTCTTCAATTAAAAAGTTATTTTTTTTTTGCAATTATATTTTATTTATTTATTGCATAATAATAATAATATTAATTTATTTTTTTTTTTTAGTTAGATCCACTATACCGGATATGACGGCACTGGGTGTAGCAATGGCTGCCGGTCATGCGGAAGGAATAAATGTGTGGGAATTTGAAAGTGATGAAGTTGAAAGAGTTGAGACTGATACATTTTTACCTACCACAACACCTGAGGGTATAATTCATATTTTTATTTCAATTAGAACGTTCCTTTTACATTAACTTAATTCTCATTTTTTTGCTGTTTTTTTTTTTAGAGAGAGATGCTAGATATAAAAAATGGAAAATGGCGGTAGAAAGAAGTTTAGGTTGGGCAGCGGTTAAAAAGTCTGATCAAATGACAGGTAATATTAAAAGTATAGAAAAAGCAAAGCTCGAGGTGTCAAAAATATACGAAGCTGCGTTGTTTAATTATTCTTGTTAATGTCCAGTCTATATACATGGTTATCTATTTTTATTTCTTTTTTATTTGCCTGTATCATCGTAGAGGTTCATTACATACGTGACATTTATAAATATAGTGCCACGTAATCATAGTTAAATATAAATACTTATGATTCTGTTGGTAGATTATATTTTGATAGATCATTTTTAAGCCCATTATCTATCTATCTTTATGTTTCTGTTAAATAAATGATTATTTTGATCCTCCTTTCCTCCTATCTATCCTGATCTTAGTAATATTTGTTTGTCTTCATGTGTTGTTTGCTTTTTTTTTTTACAAATTCGATAACCAAGGTAAATTACTGTATTTTATTTGAAAATGTGAATAAGTCTTTCAATATTTGTTTAAAGATTATTCTGTTTTATGTCATTGGTAATGGAAAATTTATTTTTCTAATTATATGTTTTCTTCAAATAGAATGTTTAAAAAAAAAGTTTGAAAATTTACACTTCGTGATTTTGATAAAATTCAAATGTATTTTGCGCTTACATGTTAATTATTAATACATAATATTAATTTATTGTTGCAGATGAAAGATATTGTGTATTAGCCTCAATACCTGCCAGCTGGTTCTTAATGTCGAGCTTTATCCTACTAAGGTTTAGCCAATATTTAGAAAATCGGTGACACAACCGATACGTCACTGAAGTGATTCATGAGATAGATGGCAGATAGCCTAATTATAATTTTGAACGACATTTAGGGAGGATGACCGAGAAGAGTTCGGTTATCAGTTATAGAAAAGCAGTCATATTGGTAAGGGGATAACGAAGTTACGAAAGATTAGAAAAGACTTATTTTTCTGTCATTACAGCCTTATATTTGTTAAACAAAAGCTGTTAATAAACGTGAGAAGATACGATTAGTACAGAAATGGAAATAAAATCCAAAGATAAGAAATAAGAGGAGAAATAGAAAACGAGCATGATGAGAAGTGACCACTTCGATAGAAAAGCGTAGAACCTTCGACGTATTAAGTGAAATAAAAACAGAAAAATATATATATAAAAAAATAATAAAAAAGCAAGAAAGAAAATTGTCGAAAAATTTTAAAAGCTTCGATTCCATGTTCAATCGTATACAATGCGCAAGCAATTATTATGTTACATGTATGATTTATTAGTTGAAAGTGCATCATATCGTACTCTTGCCAATATATAAAAAAAAATAAAAAAGTAAAGAAAAGTTCAATGCAAATTTATCTGCCGGATCATTCGTTTCTGATTTACATTTCGAACGAGCAAACGAAAATCATCATTCTGCGTTATTTTTAACAAGACTTACAATTAGTTACAATGTCCAATAAACTCATTTACATTTGTATTAGAGTTCATGATGTGTTTTTAAAGTATTTTGAACCGATTGTTTATTACGTATATGATGATTTTAAGATTATCAAATGATCGAAATAAAATTCTTGTTTGCAGAAATCTTAACGAAATAAAATAAAATATATATCAAAAATCTAGGAATATATAATTCTCTCGATTTTCATAATTAACAACACAAATCTACATTTTTATCCTTCCCACGTATTATTTTAAAATAGATTTGTTTAAAACTCTTATAATAAACTAAAAAAACAAAATATTAAAAAGGACCAATAAGTAATATCAAAATGATTAATTATTATTTTAATATAAAATATTTCAATATTTTTGCTAAATATGTGATATATTTATTAATATAAATATAAACAATGTTACTTATTGGTTAACACGATAATAAAATATATAGAATAAATAAAATAAAAGTTTTATAAAAATAGTTGCATGAATTAAATGACATTTAAAAGAACCGCGCAAGAGTGACTGTGATGCTAGATGCGCGCGCAGGCGTGTCATGCGCACGGAGGAGTGACTAGTGGCGCTAGATGCGCACGCATGCATGTGGCGCTCGATCGAATTAGTTCACCAGTCGGAAGGCAGCAGCACAAGTAGCGGCGACGGCGGCAGCAGCAGCACGCACACATGGAGGTGTATGCATCATGCCGTGTCAGTGTCGATATTCATCGCGTTGCTCGTCGTTAATATCGCGTTCGTCCGTCATTTATCGCGAACGTTCTATTATCGTTTCAATAATATTCGTCAAGGAAATATAATGCAGTATAGTGCAATATAAAAATGGTGCATTTCGTGGGAAATGGGAAGTTTCGTGAAGAGGGAAGAAACTACCAGTAGTAGGAAACTATTCGTCTTCGCGTCCTATCGTTAAAAAAAGAAAAAAATCAAGAGAGAAGAAAGAATCAAAAAGAGGGATAGTGAGAGAGAGAGAGAGAGAGGACATGTTCTTAAGAAGTTAAATATTAAAAAATAAAGGATGCATCGTGTGGTGTGTGATTTGTTGGAACGTTGACACGTTCTAAGTCAAAATAAAAATATATAGAAAAAGACAGACGAAGCAGAGACAGGAAGAAGAGAGTTAGTCAGAACGAGTGAGAGAATAAACAGGAAGAAAAAATCGAAGCAAAGTGTTCGCCAAACTGAATGTTTTTCGATTGACAGAATCGTTAGACAAGTGTACATACGTCAAGAAGATAGTTTTAAAAAGAGTGTTAGACAAATCAAAATAAAAAAATAAAAAAAAACAAAACAAAACGTCAGGAGGTGCATTTAATTGAAAGTTAAAAGTAAGTTGTTTTAAAAAGACGCATATATACGTAAGAGTAAAGTGAAAACAAGTGCATATCAAAAAGTTGAAGGGTGCCGTGAACGAGAGCGCGAATTCGAGTCGCTTCCCCTCCTCCGTGTTAGGGGGAGGGTGGCAGGGGTTGCTTCGTTCGTAACTCTTGCCAAACGAGTGAGAGAGAGAGAGAGAGACACGAATAGAGATAGAGTGAAAGAGTGAAAGAGTGAAAGAGTGAAAGAGAGGGACGCAAAAGGCAACGTCAAGATGTCGTCGTCAGGGCATAGCAGTCGCGGTCGTGCAGTTTACATTGGCTCGATATTTCAAAAGTTGCAGGGTCGTTTTACCGATGCCATGACGCCGCCTAAATTGTCCACGGATAAGCGTATGCTGGACAAGACCTGGAAATTGATGGACAAGGTTGTTAAACTTTGTCAACATCAACGTATGAATTTAAAAAATTCGCCCCCTTTTATCTTGGACATATTGCCGGACACCTATCAACGTTTGAGGTTGATTTATAGCAAGTACGAAGACAGGATGCAGATATTGCATAGTAATGAACATTTTTGCGTCTTCATTAACAATCTTATGCGCAAGTGCAAACAAGCGATCAAATTATTCAAAGAAGGTAAAGAAAAGATGTTCGACGAGTCGTCGCATTATCGAAGAAATCTTACGAAATTGAGCTTGGTCTTCAGTCACATGTTATCCGAACTCAAGGCCATCTTCCCCAACGGTGTGTTCGCCGGCGATCAATTTCGCATAACCAAATCGGACGCCGCGGAATTTTGGAGGGAACGCTTCGGTAACAGGTAAGCAGCTTGCTTATTATTATATTCCATATATCTTTTTAGCATTTCATTTTGAAAATACAGTTTGACAATAATGACAATAATGATGACAAATGCAAGTCTCGTCGATATTCTTCTTTCTTTTTTTTCTCGACACTCTGCGTTTATAGGTCCCACTTATGCAATTTCTTTTTTACCGTGCTCACCTGCAACCTATCATCCATTTATGCTTCACTTTTTTCCTTATCAACCTTTAGCGTCTCTTAAACACGAAACACCTGGCCAATATCTCGTCCACGACACGCACCATGTTCTCCAAGTTAAAATTATATTTTTTATTATTATTATTATTATTATTATTTTTATACGCGCGTCTCCTCTTCCATGCTACCATATTACACACATACTTATAATTATTATGAATATGTAGTATGCATGCATAAAATGCATAACGAATAAATGAACGCATGAGTAAGTTCATTCTTGTGTCGGTGCACACGTGCGCTTACCTAACCTAAAAAATCAGATCGAACTCGTTCTTTCCCCCTTTTTTTAAAAATATTTTTTAATTTTTTTTTTTTATTTTATCTTTATCTTTATCTCGATTTTATATTTCCTGTTGTCATCTATCTTTTTGAACTCGTTTTTTTACTCGTGTAAATTCTATCGAATGATAAATTGTTGGCTCTATTTAATGTATTTGATTTTGAATTCGATTTATGATATTATCGGGGAACAATCTATAATATATAAATAAAAATAATAAATTAATCGAATATTTATATATAATGTGTATATATATATATATATATATATTATAAAAATGGTATGTATCGAAAACCATTTCACATAATTTAGATATCCTTCTATCCGTAATTTCATTAAATGTAAAAGAAGAAAAGAAAGAAAGAAAGAAAGAAATAATAGTAAGACGGTTCAATTCGTTCATTAATCCATCGTTAAACCGAACATTTCTCTCTGATGACGAGGTCGTGACCTATTCAATGACAAAAGGTTCAAGACGTGGGACTCGTCGCATTCTTATCGCTTTCTTGTCAATACTTAGTGTACCAGCATTTTTTACAGCTGACAAAGTTCCTTTTTTTCTTTTTTCTTTTTTTTTTTTTTTGTATTCTCTCCTTCTTCCCTTTTCAAGTCTCCTTCTTTCGTAGAACAATATAAAAAACAGGGCTTGTGATAAAGAACAATAAACATACTTACATAAGAACCAAAAGTTCATAGGGGTGATTTCAAGAAAAAAATCATCTTCATTGGAAAATAATACAAGTAATAATATAAATTGAACTTGTAAATAAAAAAAAATAAAAATAAAAAACCACCTAACAACATATTGAGATTTTTGGCAGGGAGTGTAGCATAGTAATTCGACCTATCTACTCCAATTTTGAATTTAGTCACCAGATAGCGTATTCAAGTGCTAAAGATCTCAATTAGGTTTACTCACATCAGTTGAATTTCAAATGAAATTTCCAAAAATAAATATCATTCATTTTTTTTTTTTAATAGAAAATTTATGTAAAAAGATATTATTCAATTACTTAATGAATTAATTAATCAAAAGAAAGGGCAAAGTGAAACATGTATTATATAAAAAAAATAAAAAAGGATAGAAAGGTTTATTTGTAAAAAGCACGAGAGTGATAGATGTGCATTACCTTTTTTTAGTTTAAGGTCATGAATAATAATCATTATCATCATCATCATCATCATCATCATCATCATCATCATAATTCTCTTCTTAATATCACACACATATATTTTTCCACGTACTTAACGTGTTTTCTTTTTATACTCGACGACTCTTTCTCTTTTTCTTCTTCTTCTCTCTCTCTCTCTTTATTTTATATTTTTTTTTTTTTAATAATTAATAATAAAGAACCTTGATATTTTTTGCTCGAACATTAGTCAATAATGTTATAACGTTAAGAATGGTTCAGCGAATCTTTGATAGTAAAAGAGGGGCCCGATTTAATGTAACATTTTAAAATTAACCGCGCGAACTTTCCTAACGTAATTAGATTCGAATAGAACTTTGTGATATAGAAAGAGGGAACCTTTAGCTATTTTCCTAAGTATGTCTAGAAAATTAATGTTATAAAGGGTAGATATATATATATATAGGAGCATTATAGAAACTGTAATTTGAATTCGTTATTGAAAATATTCTTCAAAATGTTTCTCGTAGATAAAACACAAGAAAATTGAGAAATTGAGATAATCATTTTGATAACGCGAACAAGTTAAAATAATAATAAATAAATATAATATATCGTGTAATATAAATATTCCAATGCAATATAATTAATATATTTAATATATAATTATATTATATATATTATTTAGTATAGTATATATAATTTAGTATAATATATATATAATTATTATTATATATAATAATTATATTATATATAATAATATATATATATATATATTGTACTATATAAAAATTATATAATATAATATAGATTATATAATATATAAATATTATATAATTAATAAAACTTTTAAGAGTAATATTATTTTTTAATATTAAATTTATTAAGAGTATAAAACAATGTATTATTATTTATAATTAATATTATAATAATTATATTAATATATATATATAATAGAATAATAATAATATAATATATATATATATATATTATAATAGAATATATTATAAAATTATATTATAATATTATTAATTAATAATTAAATTAATATATATTATAGTACAATGTTATTAAAAATTGAAATGATAAAAAGAACAAAAAATAAACAATTATAAATTACAAATTAAAATCTAATATCTCAATAAATAAAAATAAAAATTAATTATAATAATCTGAATAAAAAAAAAGAGAGAAAATAAATTTCAAATATTGATAAGAATAATTAATAATATAATCCGTCAAACACATAGATATAACAATCAGAATAAAAATATGATTTGAAATTCGATTAACGGGGTCGATTACGAATAAACCGGAAGTATCGAGAAATCCTTTCATCGATTCGATAAGATCATTTTAAAGTCAAAGAGAAGAATTTTAATGATCAAGAAGCTGACGTAACAGGTAGTAGAAGAGAGGAGACTCGTACAACTTCTTTTCATTTACATACACGCATACATACATACATACATACACACACATACATATAGAACGTTCGATTAATTGATAAGATACATTAATATTTCGTGAACGTTTCTTATCATTTAAATGTTATCACAGTCCAATCTCATCATCCGTTCGTTAATACCAAGAAGATGAATCGTCGTACGTTGTCTGCAATTTCCGGTTAAATTGGGCACAATTTTCTTTTTTTTTTTTTTTTTTTTTTTTTTTTTTTTTTTTTTTTTTTTTTTCACTTTTGTCATGAACGAAACGTTTTCTCGATTTTATATAAAGAAGGAGGAAAAAGAGGGCCCAGAGAAAATACACCGTTATTCGAATATAGTTGAGAGACCATGTTGGTTGGTGGTGTTTCGTTCCAAATGAGGAAGAAAGAAAGATAGAGAGAGAGAGAGAGGTAGGATCGTATTACGAAATATTTTCTTCATCCTTCCTCATCCTTCCTCATCCTTCCTCATCCTCATTTTCGAGTACGAAGATCATTTTTTTGTTGCTGAGTAGTTAACGGGAACGCGTAATATTGCAATTATTTTTATATCAAATTTATTATACCATATAATTTTGTTTGCAAAAATATTACCTGGAATATATCGTAATTGTTCATGTAAAATATTACGAAAGTTGATAATTAGTTTTTATTATGTAAAATAAATATATATATATAAATTTTTTGCATTATTTTAGGTAAAATAAAATATATATATATTTAATATTTATACAAAATATTTTTATAAATATATTTAATATTAAATAATATTTTAGGTAAAATAAAATATATATATTTAATATTTATACAAAAGATTTTTATAAATATATTTA